ACTAGTCCTATCTTTTAGGGAAAGTTGGAGTTTAGCCGTTCAAAATTATAAATGGAATGAGATTTTTATGGAAAGGAATTTACATGACCGATTATATTGTTACACCATTTTACACATATGACCTTATCATTAATTCCGTTCCTTTTGCCATAAGATCTTCCCTCATAATTCCACCTAATTACAATATTACCATGGCCCATTTAGATCAAATCTTCACCGTATGTTAATGGTAATAGATGATTAGATTTTCCATTCCGGGCCTCTTATCCAAAATATTTCAGATTTAGATTGGACAAGAAATGGATCTTTAAAAACCGTAACTGAAGACTAGACGAGTATCCGGCCCAGCCCGATCGGGTACAGATAGAACAGACCCGGATTGGAATGACATAACTATGTGCGGCACACATGGTACCATTTCAGAATGCATTTCAAGTGGAATACGAGACACAAGAAAGAAAATGGACTGTTTTAATTATAAACTGAAATGTGAGCACATGAAAACACGAGATCAGTACAGATTTACATGAGAACCAACAAAATGTTCCGAAAAAACGGATTAAAAATTAGGTTCACGTGTAAAAAGCCAAACTAATGGGCAATAATGAAATAGACTATTATTTCAACAAAAATGCTTCTTGTACCCACCAATTATACACACTCTGTACCCACTATATAAAGACCATTTTTTTTACCGTCCATTACCCTGCATCTCTCTTTTCCCTCTTCCACTTCTCATCGCCATTTCTTTTCTTTCTCTCCCCCCTTCCCCAAATCCCTAGTCCCACATAGCAAAGCTCCTTCCCCATCGTTACCTGTCCTCACCGCATTCATTTCCGTCGCTCTTCTTCACATATGCCCGCCTTCACAGTCACCTTCCTCACCCAAGAAAATTGTCCACTCGGGTAGCAGAAGCTTGAAGACCAAGGAATGATGCTCTTGCGGCTCGAACTGATGCACATGGAAGGGATAGAGATGGTCTACTTTGAATATACCAATGAGCAGCCACACTTTTCAGTGTAAACTTCAGCCTGCGTTTTTCTATGTCTTGTTCATTCTGTTTATTGTGCATTTAGGATTATACCTGTTTATTTATCTTATGTATATATGTAAATGTTGAATGCTTGGTTACATTGGAAGATTGTTATAGATTTGTAATAAATTTGTGATGCTTATTATTGAAGTTTTAATTCAAAATATTATATTTCACTTTCATGCACAAAAGGTGTTTGTAGAAATGATTCAATGATTTATGAGTTCATTGTCCGTTTTTGTTAATTCCTTGGACTATTTTAGCTTATTATCATTAATTTTATATTTATGTTATTGAGATATTATATACTCCGTAATTATTATTGTTCATCATTTTTTTGTTCATCAATTATTGGGTTTGAATATGACTTGTTAATTGTGGAAGGTCCTAGGTTATAGAGTTCATATTTAATACAATTGATGTTTTTTTTGTAAAATAGGTAAAAGACCTTTGAAGACCTTCTTAGCATATTTCGGTGAATTCTATTTTGTTCTATGAATTATATTAACTCCATGAGTTGAAGTCATTTTGTTTTGCATCTATGAAAATCAATTTCTTTATTCATAACATACTGTTTTGTGGTGGATTAGATTTTCAATTTAGTCTATCTACATGCTTAATGATTACTGAATCCCTTACATGTTTAATGTCATTGTGATATGGATTAGATGCTCAGTATTGTTGTCATGTTGGGAAAGTAGAAGATTAGAGTTGTTGTCTATAAACTTATTTTCCTCTATGTTCTTATTACTAAAATTCTTATTCATAATCCTCTTACTATTTATTGTAATTTTCATCGATTCTTTGCAGTTTGGCCCGGAAGAGGCAACAACAACAGGACGATGACACTAAGAACATTATATCTTTTGTTGTCATTACTATATCTACTTTCAAGGCACAAAAAAGAAATCAAATGAACATAATGATAGGAAAACTCCAACTAATGGAGAGAAGATGAATGAGGGGCATAATTAAGGACCAACAAAGAACCTTACCTCTATTACACCAGCCTAGCTTGTGAGGTCCAAAGGACAAGATAATATTCAAGTCTTGTAACAGTCACTTTGTAAAGTAATGTTTTTGTATTCGATATGTAAGTGTATTTGTTTACATTTGTTTTCAAAGATGTATCTTATATTCTTATATGTATGCAGATTTATTGTGTAAAATAATGGTGAATGATGTTGTACAATGTCCTAAAATGTATTGCCCAAATGTTACCTTATTAATGAATATGTATTTGATAATTTTATCTCAAATTTCCATACGAAAATAATTTCCATATGAAAAGAATTTTTTCTGTGTGGTTAAAGCATCGCCATTGTGTTCGTTTATTTTGTCTGCGCGTAGAAAGTAATTGTTAGCGTATTCATTTAGATTGTTTGTGTGTTTGTTTATTCGTCTTTTGCAGAAAAAAATTGTCTGTGTGTTCGTTTATATTGTCTATATGTGGTTAAAACGTGGTCCTTGTTCATTTATTTTGTTTGTGTGTAGAAAATAAATATGTGTGCCGCTTTTATATTGTCTGTGTGAGATTAAAACATTGTCTTGTGTTCATTTATTTTGTCTGTATGTGGTTAAAACATAAATTGTCTTCTCATAATTTCTAAGCGAATTGAAATTGTGAGAAATTATCCGTTTTCATTTATATTGTCTGTGCGTGGTTAAAAGATGGTCAGTGTATTAATTTATTTATTTTGTTTGTGCATGGAAATTTATTATCTGTGTTCATTTATGTTATACGTGCATGGTTAAAATATTGTTTCTGTGTTCATTTATTTTTTCTGTGCATAGAATCTAACTATACGTGTGTTCATTTATATAATCTGTGTGTGGTTTAAACGTGTGTTAGTTTATTTTGTCCATGCGTGGGAAATAATTGTGTGTGTGATTGCTGTTTGTGCGATACCACAAGTTTACCTAAGATTGATAATTATTTTGTTTGTGAGCATCATAGACATCCTATTTTTAGGAAAATCACCCTGTCAAGCTAAATAGCATTAGGCTAATTACACTCGGATTAATAACACAACGCAAATCCTTTGGCACCATTCAAAGTTATTTTCATAATACAAAAGATAAACTTTGAAAACACAAACAACTGTAACTAAACTATCATTGTAAATACAAGAACATTAATTTCACAATACAACTAATTACAAAAATCAATAGCACAACATTGCATTTATCCTCTTATCCAACTCTGCAAGTCGAGATAAAGCTACCAGCAGTGGTTTTTGCACCAAGAGATATTCCAAGGTGGCCTGTTGTAAACATAAAATGCATTGGATAATCCGAGCACGAGTAATTCCAATTTCAAGCCATTTATAGATGCCAACTAAGTCATTCAAATCTTTTAAAGCTCAACACGTAGAGAAATCATATAACACATAGATGCATAGATATAAACTCAATGTAATACTAACTCACTCTGGACTTTGCCATTTTACATAAAACAACATCAACATCATAACATATAAATGAACACACAGACAAATATTTTATACGCACAAACAAAATTAATTTACACACAGACAATATTTTAATCAAAAACATACAATATAAATAAACACATATTCTAAAACAAGTTCTAACCTTTTCCTTTACCATATTCTCCCATTTTGTTTCAAATAAATTGTGAACTATACATATACACTACAATTTATAATATATCCAAAAAACAAGTTCATCTTATAAATTTAACAGATTCTCCATATAACAACAATTACAACTATAATTGCAACTTCAAGAAACATTGATTAAAATTTCAGTGAAACATTTAAACAAATATGTCATGTGCATAAAATAGAAATATAATAGTTTGATTGAAATTTGAAAAATTAACATCACCAGTCCATAACTATGAAACAAACATAATCATACATTCATCATCATACTAAAATCTTTACCTATCAAATAACAAGATACATACAAATATGAAAAAGGAAAAAGCTATAATCGTAGAAGGAAAACAAAGAAGTACTCCGTATATAATTACCTCAAGATTTATCAAAGTTTTGAGACAAAATCATTGGATAATGTTGGATTAATTTTCCTGAGTGGAGCTTTGAATGTGAATTGAAAAGGAAGAAAAAAGGGTGTAGAAGAAGGGAGGGGAGGAGAAACGGCGTAGGAGAAGGAAAGTGGGAGAGAGGAGAGATAAGTGGGGGAGGGGGTAAATGGGGTGAAAGAGGGTAATGTTTTTTGGGAGTATTTATAGTGGGTATAGGGTGGGTTTAATAGTGTGTACAAATAGATTAGCTCTTATTTCAATTCTATGTTAGAAATTTCACAATCCTGATTCCCAAGTATTTCAAAATAAAAGTGATGAGTTCAATAGTAATTCATTTGTTTCTAAATAATTGTCTCAGTTTGCTTTTGAAACAATCCCAAATTAATTGTTACATTTCTTTTTCCAAAGACAATCTATCTAAAAAATTATTAGAGTATACTTCAATAAAATGTATTGTAGTACTATAGTAACAAAAACACCTACTATTCAGGAGTATAGAGCACCTACAAAACTATCTTAAACTACGTAAACAAGACAATAACCACTCCATCTGCACGGGTAGCTCAACTGGTAAAGCGGTGATAAAGTTGGACAAATGACCAAAGATCGAAACTCGCAGCGACCGTGTGGAGGTCACAGTTCCTATGTGCTAGGTTGGGCCTCTGGTGCTCACGGGTATAAGATCTACCACCGTTATGATTGGTTGAGTCACCGTGATTTACAACCTCCCAAATGCTTTGTCGGGTCAGGGTGTGGGGAGGCCTTGGGGTTGGGGAGTCAACCTGTTGGATAAATGAGAATAATTATTCTTATTTAGTAAATAAAAATATAGTCCGATTTTGAAATGCATCAACGTTTTTACTCTTATTCAGGACAATTTCTTTCTCAACTTTTATGCACACCCGACACATGCACATATTTATTTGTTTGAGTCTCACGGTACATGCAGGAGCTATATTCATATGGGGCTCGAAAGATAGTCGTAACTTCTATTGGACAAATCGGATGCATACCATATGAGCTAGCAAGGTACAATGGGAATGGAATTAACAAATGCAATGAAGAAATTAACAATGCCATTTCCATGTTCAACTCTGGGCTCAAGAGGCTTGTAGATAAGTACAATAAAGGCTATTTGCCTGGATCCAAGTTTGTTTACTTGGATTCATTTGCAAGCACCAAGGACCTTGTTGTCAATGCAAAAAGATATGGTATGTACTAATAAGTTGCAACCAAATCATATACATTCTAAAATATTGTAAAAAATATTTTAGAATACATAATTACCTCTCTGATTTTGATTGGAACTATTTTTAGAAGAAAATGTCTCTTATACTCCATCCATATGTATTGTACTGGTGGAGTTGTTTTGAGGGCTTGATAATACAATATTAATGAATCATGTTGATGTAAATGAAACAGGATTTGAAGTGGTGGATAAAGGATGTTGTGGGGTGGGGAGGAACAATGGCCAAATAACATGTCTTCCTCTTCAACTACCTTGTGATGATAGATCAAAGTACATCTTTTGGGATGCAAATATTCTCCTAGCCCAGAAGGCCTACAGTTCAACTTCCAGAGTTTTTGCTTATCCCATCAACATTCAACAATTAGTTGCGATTTAAATAATGCAACATCTCCTCATTCCGTCATTTTTATGATTCCAATAATGTTTTAGCAACTTGTATCCTGATTCTCTATTTCAATTCCTTATATTTACGCTTTGTTTTAGTAATGTGTGAAGAAATTGATTAAATAAGTAACAGGTATTTTATCTTGGTTTTTATTATTCTATTTAATTTACTTTTGTTATTAAGAAGTGTTTTTTTTTTTGTGACAAATAATTGAAAACTACTCCATTTATAAAAGGTTAAAACACGAAAGTTTCTTAAAATAAAATCACATGTACTTTATTTCTAAATTAGGAATCATGTTAACTCTTCAATTCAGACAACATATAGTAATTTCAATCCAAAATACACATAGAGAAAGCTATTGACTACAAATTTGATAGAAATACATTGATTTATAGATTTGGTGGTGGACTGGTGGTGACCAGTTGCAAAAGTTTCCGGCTGCGAATTTCTACAAATACATGGTGTGGTCTCGCATAGTGAAAAGATGAACGAATTTGGAAAAATAAGATATAAATCTTTTACAAAGTACGTAGTATATGGATGTTTTCTTTTGGACTGTTTTCAGTCCCAGACCAGACCAGACCAGACTTAAACAGACCAGACCAGACCAGACCAGACCAGACTTAAACAGACCAGACCAGACCAGACCAGACTTAAACAGACCAGACCAGACCAGACCAGACCAGACTTCCGTAGTTATAAAATACACTAGGACCAGACCAGACTTAAACAGACCAGACCAGACTTAAACAGACCAGACCAGACCAGACCAGCAAATTTCAGTCCAAAAGAAAACATCCTATATCATTAATTTGAAATATACGGTGATGGATAGTCTACCCGGGGGTATCTTATCCGAAGGGTTATTGCGGGAATAACTAGAGAGAAGTCAGAGTAAATAGGAGGAGAGAGAGTCGATTTTATTAAATGAACTCAGCGTGGAGTTGAGATGTAGATTGTGTTGATTACAAGGAGAAATGGGCTGCTATTTATAGCAGCAATAAATGCGATGAGAGGACACGTGTCAGTAATCCAACGACCGAAGGGTCACATCAGCCGGTTGGCACCGGCAGTGGTACGTCCACCGCATTGAATGCGGTTGGCGGATGTGACGTGGTATTAAATGCGGTGGTTGGCTGTCTCTAAAAGGAATCTTCGATGATTGAGCTAGTTCAGCCGAAGGCTCCCGGTGTAGCCGAAGGCTCCTGACGTAGCCGAGGGCTCCTTATGTAGCCGAGGGCTCCATGTGGTGAGGACCCTTGCACGGCCGAAGGCCCCGTGTGACCGAAGGCATAGCAATGCCGAGGGCGTAAACAATGCCGAAGGCTCATGTCTTCGCCCGTTTTCTACCAGTAGCTTCCTATGCCGAAAAGGTTATTCTGTGAGTTCTGGAGCCTTCGGCCAAGTAGGCCGAAGGCACCCCAGTGTGTATTCTGGGCCACCTTGAGGCTTGGGCCGTCGTATTTGGGCCTGAGTTGTTTCCTGAGCTCAATGGACCAGTGTAGGAGAAATAGGAGTCTATGGGCCGGGGGTTCGTGGGCCATATACTCCATCATACGGAATAGATGTTTGTATACTCTCTACATACGTTCCATAATTAAGTTCTCACTCTTCTATTTTTAATGTTTTAAAATTAATTTTCTTTCTCTTCCTGATGATATTTGAGTAATAATTAAAATACCTTACTCTCGTATCTGTATAAATGATATATCACTCGATCAATATTATTTTTCTCAATAATCATTCTTTTAAGGAAGAATGATTGAGAAAAAATCGTAAATTCAAAAGGAACTTAATTACGGAATGATTTTTTTTTCTTTGGATGAGCTATAAAATATATCATTGACCATAATTGTACAGAACTGAAGGTGCATACCCCAGCTAAATAATCCATTATTACGCAACACAACACACCACAACTCTCGAGGAATCCGTAAAGGAAAACTATTGGCAATTAGAAATCATACTACTACTTCGGCAAAAAACAAAATGGAACACATTAGGAATATTTAAGTTAGAAAAAATGATTTGTACATAGTCATAAAACATACTACGTGCTAGTCACAAACAAAACATTATTTGTCAATCAACATGCTATTCATAGACAAAGAAATAACCTATTTGAAGGCATGTATGGAGTTTGTAAAAAATACCTAGTACATACAAGAAACATGACAGCTTAATGTATGCGAACGCGTATAAAGCAAAAGGTAAACAAGATCAGACATAGTTCCTTTGCTGTGAAAACGTAAGTACATCAGTAGATTTTGAACTTTACAGAATCACACTTATTTGGTATTTAGAGCATCTCCAATGGTAAAATGTGTACGGTGCACACGTGGCATGAGAAATAGCCACATAAATATTAGTAAATAAATTATTTCTCTCCTTATTTGAATGATTTTATACAGTTTTGGTAAGTTTTTCTCTACAATGTCAAGGGGACCGTGTAGATGTTGACATTGTTGTTGACATTGCAGGGAAAAACTTACCAAAATTGTATAAAATCATTCAAATAAGGAGAGAGATAATTTAACAATCTAATTGTATAAAATGCTGCATTCAAAAACTTACCAAAATTGTATAAAATCATTCAAAAACTTACCGTGTAGAACGTGTATCCATTTCTATCACATTTTCACATCATCAATTGGCTAAACTTAATCTAATAATCTATACTCTAATCATGAAAATTAGAATTACTATTTTCAATTTATCAACTAACTTTTTACCTAGATGTAGTTTTTAATTTCTTGCACTAAATTATTTAATTCAATCTCCTTCACTCTAATATTAAGACAATAGGATATGATTAGTCATGGGCCCGGGTCCGGGTCGGGCCTCGGCCCTGCTGGGTCTAATTTCTTTTGATGTGGACCCGAGACCGGCCCGGTGGTTAGCCGGTTACGGGTCGGGTCAGGCCACCCACCCGGGTACCGGTCCAGACCACCCGCTCGGGTCGGGCCGGTTACAATTTTTTTTCTTTTTCCTACTTATTTCTACAAATGCTGCATATTAAAAACAAATTTCAAGTGCATTTATTTGAAATATGAACTACATTTGAGAATTGAGGAAAAAATTACAATATGAAATACATTTTCTAATAAATGATAATAATATAATATATAATAATCAATCAGAATTTCCGGCACCGTTGGTTGTTGTTTTCTCCTTGCCTTTGCCTTTGTCACATGACTTAATATGTCTTGTGGGCATCCCGTATCCATGTGAACACCCCAAGCTACACTCTTTCTTGCACCACCTGCAAGTTGCGTACCACATCCTGGTCTTCGAGTCCTTCCACATATAAAAATTGTTTTTCATAAGGGAAGATCTAATTTCCATCTTTAAAATGGTAGATGTATAAGTAGGAGGATAAGAGAAGATGAAGATGGAGAAGAGTTGGAGAAGAGGTGTAGGAAAATGTTAGAAAATAGGTGTATTTATAGAAATTTTTGTACCCCACCTCCCACTCCTCCCCCACCCCCGGGACCCCATCTGCTGGCACCCAACGACTATATTGCCGTTTGGGAGGAATGGGAGTTTTTTGTTTAATTTTTTTTTAATTTATAATCAATACATATTTTAAAATTAATTACTTTAATTAATTAAGTAAAGCTATTTTTACTTAGAAAATAGGTGTGAATGTGTGATTTATAATTTACAAATGTTAGAAAATAGGTGTATTTATACAAATTACATATTGTAAAGCTATTTTGAATTTAAAAACATCCTTTAGAAAATTAAATGTAAGTTCTAACCAATTAATTAATTTGAGGTAGAAGTGTTACATATAAAAAAAATGAACGTATATTTATTTGAAATATGAACTACAAGTTTACAATTGGGAATTGAGGAAATTTTTTTAACATGAAATACATTTTATAATAAATTGTAAAATACTAATCAATCGGAATTTGCACCATATGTAGAGCCACCCTCAGTTGTTGATTCATCCATAAAGTGTTGGGAGGGGTGATGCTAAGTTCTTGAGTTCAACGTCTGACCTTTAACCAATCGTGGTAGCATACAAGCGTCTCAAGAGAGTTTGCGATCAATAACGGTCTAGATTCTGTTAGGATGTTGCCGGCTGAACTAAATTCTTGTTCCACGGCAACTGTTGAAACCGGCATTGATAGTACTTGCTTAGCCATCCGTACTAAAACCGGGAACATTCTTTCTTTTTCCTTCCACCACTTTAGAACGTCAAAGTCACTATCTTCTTCAAAATCAACATTATATGTTAAATACAAAGCAATCTCATTAACAGAGCTTTGTTCAGTAGCGGGAGTTGTTTTAGTATTTTTTCATAAGATTGCCAAAAGCATATTTGAAAATTGATTTTTCCTTTAGATGAAGATGTACGTGTCAGGGGATGGGGCGTGTTGCCGTATTGTTCATGAAACTCATTAAATAAAGCATAAAATAAAGTACTAACCTGGTTGTATTCTTGTAAAGGATCTATGGGGTTATTCTCATACATTGGATATTCACCAAAAAAAGTAAGATAATAGAACTTCAAACATTCTTGCAAAGAAGCAAGTCTAAAACGAGGATCAAGAATAAATGCAATATTATAAATATGCGGAATATGTGCATAGTATTTTAAAAACTTTTGTTGCATAAAATCACAAAAATAACTCACGTAAGCGGCATTTGAAAATTCATTAAAAGCACCGGCCAGATTAACAGCTTCACAAATAAATTGGTTTGACGTAGGTTTATAAACATGACTAAAAGTTTCGGTTGCATTAAAAAAATACCAAAACATTCACAATTTTTTTGCAAGTGTCGATGTCAGCCGGGTTTATAATATAGTTATAAGATTGTATTAAAAAAGAAGGAAAATGGTCTTTATATCTAATAAGAACTTTAATTAACTTATAAGTACTATTCCAGCGAATAGAGAAATCTTTAGGAAAAGCAACATATCTCACACCTCTTTCTATCAAATATTTTTCCCATTGTAATTTAAGTTGACCACTAGCCCAAATACGTCTAATTCACCCCTTGACTACCTCCATAGCATTTCCTTACGCGGCTAGACCGTCTTGCACACATAAATTGAGAATATGACATGCACATCGTTGATGAAAAAATCTACCCATCAAAGTAGTAGAACCACACAATTCATGCAATCTAGGTATGACAGCAATATTATTAGTAGCATTATCAAAACTCATAGCAAACACCTTATCAACCAAATTATACTCAATTAAAATACGCTCAATCAGAATATAAATATTATCAGAATATAAATATTATCAGCGGTGTGACGATCATTAAATTCACGAAAAGCAAGAACACGTTTATGCATTTCCCATTCATCATCAATATAATGTGTAGTCAGACCCAAATAATGTAAATAATGATAAGTATCCTACCATATGTCACAACAAATACTAACACGCCCATCAAAGTTTGCGAAAAAATTTTGTAACCTTGCCTTTTCCGCACCATAAAGCCTTATAATTTCTTTCTTAAATGTTTTGCGACTATAATTTCTAAATTGAGGATTTAAACTACCTTGAGCATAATCTCTTAAAGCAAAACTTTCAGAAAACAAATAAGACAAATTTTCTTCAACAATTAAGTTAGACATACCACTCAAATTTTGGGAATCATTATATGAGAAGTTACCAATGGCTTGGCTATTTGCAAACCTCGATATTAGAGTTTGCTTCCCCTTTCCATTGCCTAATTTCACATACTCCACTTTGTGGCGGGACTTAAGATGTCTTGCGGCGGATCTGTATCCGGCGGAAATCCCGAAGCTATAATTTTTGTTGCACCACTTGCAAGTTGTGTACCACATCCCGGTCGTCGGGTCCTTGTACTTATCAAAATTATTTTCCATTAGTTCAGATTTACTTTTTTTCTTACTGTGTTGGGATGAGGCAGGCTCGTCGGCGTCGTGGGTGCCGTCACCCTCGTCCTCGGCCATCTCCGGTTTGAGTTCCTCCGGATCATCATCCTCGAGGTCTTCTTCGTCAATGGTCGTCGGGATGTGTTGTTCGACAAAGCAGTTATTATGTCGGGTCAATTCTTGTTGTAGTTGTTCGCTGGACATCGCATTTGCATCCCTCCTTTGGTAATCCATTTCAAAATCATCTCAGCTTTGAGATGAAGACCCGATATGTGCTTTTTACCTTTGCGGAAATTCTTCCTCTCAATCTCCTTCCTTCGATTGCGGTAGAGGTTACCCATATCAACCTAATACTTGTTAGATTGAAGTATTAATTTTTTTAAAAAAAAAAAATAATACTTCAATCTAACAAGTTTAGTTTAATGAAATAAAATTCAAACTACTTTTTTTATATAAGATAATTCGAACAACTTTAATAAATACTTAAAACTAACAAGTGTGAATTTAACTAAAATGTGAAGTACTTTATAGCAAATTTCCAAGTACTTTAATTTAGTGAGAACTAATTTAATAAAATGTGAAGTACTTTAAAAAATAATTTGAACTACTTCTTTTCCTTGAAATAAAAATTCAAACTACTATGATAACAAATGTAACAATTAACTACTTTTTTAAAGTACTTGAAACTAAGGTAACAATTAATTAAAAATAGTAATGAACTAATGAACTACTTTAAAGAAAAATATAATGATTAACTAATCAACTAATGTTAATAAAAAATGTAACTAATAAGACAAATGTATGAATGTGTATACTAATTAATGGGAGTAATAGAATGAATTTAACTAATATTAATTAAAGTGTAACTAATATATAATATATTGTGTAAGTATATATATATATATATATATATATATATATATATATATATATATATACTTAATATAATAAGTAGATATTAAATATATGAACGTAGATAATTCGAACTATATTAGTAGATATAATAATTGTATAACTAATATATAATATAATGTTTATAGTATATAATATATAAGTATACTACTATAAGATGAGTAATACACTTCTATTTAATACTTTAAATTTAATATATAAAGTATATATTAAGTAGATAATAAGTAGAGATCAAGTAGATAATTAATATAAGTAATATATTATATGTATTTATAAGTAGATAATTAATATATAAGTAGATAAAAAAGTAGAGATTAAGTAGATATAATAATTCTATAATTATTAAATAGTAAAATAGAATGGAGAATTAGAGAATTTGAGAAGATGAAGATGGAGATGATTAAGAATAATAGAATATTAGAGAGTAGAGAGTTGGAAGAGTTGGAGAAGAGGTGTAGAAAAAATGTACTCGTATAAAAATAGGAGTATTTATAGTCGTTACGCCCGAACCGGGCCCGGGCTGGGTCACCATATCTGCAACCCGAGCCCGCCCCCGCTACTACCCACGGTCCGGGTCAAAGACCGGTATCGGGCCCGAAGCACCGGGCCGGTCCCGCACAGTAGCGGGCCGGTTCTCAGGTCGGGTGGCCCGAACCGAGACCATGACTAGATATGATAGGATTAGTGATGGACCGGGCCCGGGTCGGGCCTAGGCCCGGCGGACTTTTTGGGGTTTGGGGTTAGGCCCAGAACCGGCCCGGGTATGCACCGGGTCCGGCTCGGGCCGGGGTCGGGCCTGTTTATAATTTTTTTGCTTTCCTAACTACCCCCCCCCCCCCCCCCCCCCCGCCCAAACACCCTGGTGACCCAGCCCAACTCGGGGGAAAGCAAAAAACAATTGAAAAAACCAAAAAAAAAAAAATAATTATTTAGGCCCGAACCGGACCCGGGCCGGGCCGGTTCGCATTTCCCTTAGCCCGTACCCGCCCCGGTTACCCCCCACAAACCGGGCCTAGACCCGGACCCGGAACCGGTACCCAGTTCCCGGGCCGGGCCAACACAGTACCGGACCGGGCGGCCCGCACCGAGTCCAAGCCTAGATAGGATCATTGAGAAAAGTAAAATTACACACAAAATTAGAACCCGCAAAGATTATCAATTTGTATCTAATATTTGTGAATTAAAATTACACAAACGTTATCAAATATATAATGAATTAAACATACATAAGCAGATGAAAAGAGAAAAAATGGACAAAAATAGTGGATCCATGAAGATATTCAAAAGTAAAGTCCAAATGAATTTGCTAAAAAATGATTAGCTGATTGAACCAATTACCATGAATTTCAGGTGTTTTTTTAAGGGAATTTCAGGTGTTGCTAAACGAGCTCTCAACTTAAATTGACTTCCCAATTTCCCATTAAAAACATGTAAACCTTACTTTGATCACTTTCCGCATAAACTTCGACCATGACTACCTTTTCAACTCAATTTTTTTCCATCAGGCACACCTCACACACCTAGGGGTGGGAAAAACCAAACCGAAACCCGGAAACCGACCGTGGACCGACCCGAATTATGATCCCGGTCCAGGTTTTTTCTTTTTAACCGGCCCGAATTAAAAAAAAAACCCGGACCGAACCGAAAATTTCGGTCTCATTAATGGGCCTTAAAATCTATAACCCGGCCCGGACCGAAAAAACCCGAAACAATTAGTTTTAATATAAAATTAATATAATATATGATATAAATAAAATATTTCCTAATATATGATTATAATCACGGTGAATAAAAAAAGATTTAGTAACTTTTAGTGACTACAAATATATTGAATTTGTTTAGTGTAATGATGACCATGAGAATATATTTATAGCAACTCTAGTAACTTTTTTATTTATAAAATTTATTTCGTAATATTTTTCATAAACATATATTATTTATATATATACATCTTACATAAAATATTAAGATAATTATCTTCTTTAAATTTGAATTGTTGGTGATTTTGGAGACTAATATTTGTGTTATTATTTGCGGTTTGTATTTTTGATTAATTTTATTTGAAAATAAGTGTTAAAATATAAAAAAAACAATGACATATTTTACGTCCAAGTTTTAACCGGTCCAACCCGAACCCAGACCGAACCCGGGCTACCAAAAACCCGACTCGGACCGAATATAATAGGCTTTGTTCCGGTCCCTAATTTTCATAATCCGAGACCTTCCGGGTAATTTCCGGGTTTAGCAAAAACCCGACCCAGACCGGACCGATCCCACCCCTACTAGTTAATAAAATATAATTTGTTCATAACTTAGACACATTCAAGCAATCAACCGTTTCATCAATTAATTTTATCAGATTCAGCTCATATAATGTTATGAAACAAGCTCTTACGTGGAAACTGCAAACGATTTTTCTTGAATTACCAAGGAAAACAAATAGGATTGGAGTAGGTTTATAATCTACTGATTTTTTTCTAGTGATGACCTGATAATTTATTTTCATTTCCTTTAAACAACACAGTGGTTTGTTTATTATAGCATAGGTAAGTTCTTCCGAAATAAATCTTAAATCACACTGATTTATTGCCAGGAAAAAGTACAGAGATCTTCAAATATAATGGCAAAAACCATTTTTAGAAACTCATAGATTTAGTAATGACAACCATGAGTGAGAACGACCTAAGAAACAATTGCACGATTTCATTGTTTCAGATTTCAAGTAGGGAGCCATTAGGTTGAACCAAGAAACAATTGCACGAATTAATCCATAAAACTTCAAATGTCATGCACTGATGCACATACATAACTATGCAAAACTGTATCTCAACTTAATATCCATCATTGCTGCGGTCAAACCCACCGGCACGAGGACTAGACCTCTCCTGAGCAATAGAGACACGAATGTTTCTTCCGTCAAGTTGCTGCATAAAGGGGCATACTCGTTAGAGTTCTTTTTAACTACATCCTACATTTGTGACATTCATTAAAAATGTACAAGACGCACTCTCACACACAAATAGGAAAATTCAGCTCAGAACTACGTGACAGATGTTGGCCAAAACTATTGTGGGTTGCTAGATCTTGGGTAGTTATACAATAATACCGGCTGGGCGGCTGGTATTTCAATCTAACTGCCCTATTAAAAGTAAGGAGCTAATTTTGTTCAAATTTACGGTCAAAGTTTATGGTCCAAAATTTTTCTTCATTAGTATCAAATAGCTATAATCTTTGGATCTTAATTTTGTTCGACCATAGACTCTTGAAACTCAATTTTTCACCTATAGCATTCTTATATAACAGTTAATACCAATTCATCATAGAAAATTGTTCTCAAGATCGGAAAGTTTTAAATTTTTATGCTCTATCAGTTTAAACTACTAGTTGATATTAAAGAACAAATCACTTGGATAATAAACTGCATTTTTTGGCGAAGAATGAAATTTGACTGTCAAGCCAGCCTCATATGAACACACTCATGCACACACATATGTATCATAAAGAAAATATATTTCTAAAAGATCTAAACCTTTCCATCCATATTGGAGAGTGCTTCCTCTGCTGATTTATCGTCAGTAAAATTCACAAACCCGAATCCTCGTGACCTCCCAGAATCTCTGTCCGTAATAACCCTTGCTATACACCATAACCGAGGAAAATAGTCATACAAAGTCAGGCAGTGATGTTTGGTCATAAGATAAGATATAGCCAGATTACAAGTGAAGGCAATGCCCATTACAGATGAAACACAATACTCAAGTATTAAGCTATGTACAACAGCACTAAAACACAGGACGGGACAGAAGACCATGTTATTGGATTTCGTCAAGTAATATGTCTTGCAATTCAATGTCCCCATTTACGGGGCAAAGATAAATATATTAAGCCTAAGCAGAAAAAAAAATCCACAACACCCTATTTAGTCACACAAAGGAATTGATTCCATTGCCTACCCTCTTCTAATAAATCAAATGAAGTAAACCAAACCAATTCAATCCCTCCCCCAAACCTTTTCTGTACCTTGAGACAAACAAAACCTTACTTAATCTCAATGAGAGTCAATAAGATTGCTCTTCCTCTGTTTTATTTAGCAGTTAAAAACAACACATCCAACTGCCTCTTACATTTGATTCCTTAAAAACCTAAAGGACTATATTCCCCTTCCATATCTTTGGGAGAGACAATTGGCTCCAAAAATGCTACAAGTTGCACTTAATTTCATAAAATATTAAGGCAAGGAGTGAATTACATAGTATTGCAAAAACATGTATAGAGAATGTCCACAACTTAAAATTAAAAAAAAAACTAGTTATTGTTTAAAATTACAAAATAAAAGGGAGAGAAGTGCGTAGTACTGCAAGGGGAGTTCTTAAGTGGAAACTAGGAACTTCACATGAATCAAAAATCAAAATATAACATAATACATAAAACATAAAAACCCACCTTCCACAACCTCGCCATAACCAGAGAAAGCATTCTTTAGGGAATAATCATCGGTCCCATATGAAAGTCCTGTGAAATATACGGATAAAGAAGCGTATGTTTGGTTATTCATCTTTCATAATCAATACCTGTCCAATATATTAAATAAAACTACTAGAGAGCTATGCACTTACTTACCACCAACAAAAAGTTTTGATGACATGCATCGTAGAGCACCAAACATGGTGGCTACTTGCACGGGAGCATGTGTTGCATTGTGTTTAGAAACACAAGTCTTAACAAGACTACCGAGTCTGTTGCAGAATGCCATTACTACAAATTAAAACAAAAGTTCATAAATGAACAATTAGTGACCAATGTGAACATTAATGAGTACGCTGAAAGCCAAAACAAACATTACGATATATCAGATTATCAGCCAAAACTTATTAATTTTTATTACAACTCCTCAATTTAGAAAAATAATCATCGTTAAGCTGAAATGATAGATAAAGAACGAAGCTGAACTGTTTATGATATAAAAAGATATGTACGAACATACAAAATAAGATAAAATAAGAAAACAGTTAGAAATAATCGACAAACCTCCGGATATTAGACTGCGTCCGACCTAAGGTGAAGGTGAAGAGGAGCTGGAAATGGAGAGAGCAGTATAGCTTACGACCGTATGGCTGAGAGTTAAATTGGTCCACCGGCAGTAGGGTTAGGTCATTCCAGATCTTGGGCATGTGGTTTTCTAATTGGACCGGATCACAAACTTTGGGCCAATAACTTTGAATCATTTAAGTTGTCATTTTTTTTTAGAATATTCTTCTAAACCTATTATGGTATCTGCTTTTGTTAATGTCAACATTTTTTATTGGGATGAGACTCGAACATGCAACCTCCTCTTTAGAAGATCAGCAGTGATGTCATCCTCTTTAGAACATCCACTTATTTGACATTTTTGGTTAGTACATGGACTTATTTGCCTCTTTTCCCAAAATATTATATTTAAAATATTTTTATTATAAATAAAGAAACAATCTTAGACAAAATAACTAAAATGATATTATATAATAACTTCACTCAATATAATTACAAAAGTTACATCAAACTCACTAATGCTCGTTATTATACTTTCTCCGCCTCATAAAACTTGGTCAAACTTTCTTTTTTAGCCGTCCCAAAACACATTACATTTTCATTTAATGTTAACAAATACTTCTTATGTGATTAGACTAATTTCTCTTTCATATACACAAATCTCAATCAGATATTTTTTTCTTTATTATTCAACATGCAAGTCAAAGTTGGCCAAGTTTTGTTGGCAGGAAAAACAATTGATAAGTACATATTTCGCCACGCATTTGATGCGTGTTGAGATTGATTTTTATTAGTTTTCCTAGCTTAAATGTGTCACAAAGCACCTAATTACCTCAAATCATAGTTTACCGAGTTTTGATTTGCATTTTGTGTTTTTGGAATTAAAAACATTACCTCAAATCATGTCATCGGAGTTGGAGAATTAACCGAGAGGGTTAGAGACACATTTAAGAGCTATTAAGAAGTATTGAAGATCCACGAGTCATTAATGGAGTGATTTTGAAGTCAAGAGAGCTCAAGGATCAAGTACGAGATCAAACGGGGACGAATAGAGTTTGAAAACGACAATCAGAATGACGTTATATTAATCGTTCGAACATATCCTTTCATAGAAACATCAAAAGGAAATGATTCAAGCTTCATATGAAAGTTAATTTAAAGGGCTACAAATCATATGAAGACACTATGACAAGAATGTAAGAGGATCAAGGTGAAAACAGGGGAGGGAGTCAGATAATCGTTGTTGAGATTCTAGGATGCGACCTTCCACCATTTTATTCATGTCTTTTTTTTTGGATGATCAAATCCCAGTTTTGCAAGTTGTGGTAGATAGAAGACTTCATTAACTACAAGCCTCAACTTTGGTGGAGGAAGCAAAGTCAAATTCGGGCGGAAGAAGCGCACGCAACGCGCACAAACAACGAACGTCATGCGTGGAAGAAGAACCCACGCAGAGGCTACTGGAGGCCACGCATGCCGTGTGTGCGAGGGTAGGGGTGGGAAAAACCGAACCGGAACCCGAAAACCGATCCCTGGCCCGACGCGAATTATGATTCCGGTCCGGGTATTTTCTTTTTAACCGACTTGAATAAAAAAAATTGGACTGAACCCGAAATTACGGGCTCATTAACGGGCCGTAAAATCTCTAACCCGGCCCGGACCGATAAAACCCGAAATAATTATATTTAATATTAAATCAATTAATATATAGATATAATTTATAAATAATTCCTAATATATGATTATAATCATGGTGGATGAAAAAATGACTTAGTAATTTATAGTGACTACAAATATGTTCAATATGTTTACCGTAACGACCATGAAAATATTATTATATTAACTTTAGTCACAATTTTATTCAAAAGTTTAATTTCGTAATACTTATAGAAAATCTGTATTATTTATTTATAGTCATAATTATCTTCTTTGGTTTTGAATTGTTGGTGATTTTGGAGACTGATAATTGTGTTATTTTTTTGTGGTTTGTTTTTTTAAGTAGTTTTATTTGAAAATAGGTTTTGAAATATAAGAGGACAATGAGATTATTTCACGCTCGGGCTTTAACCGGCCTAACCCGGAGCGAACCCGGGCTTCAAAAAACTCGACTCGGACCAAATATAATAGGCTTTATTCCAATCCCTAATTTTCATAACCTAGGACCTTACTGGTAATTTCCGGGTTTGAAAAACTCGAGCCAGACCGGACCGATCCCATCCCTGGCGAGGGACACATGCCGTGCGTGGCAATTTTTGCGCGTTTTTGCTCTGAACGCACGCCACGCACGCATCTTCAGGGATCCTTTTTCGGCTCTAATTCTTGCATTTTCTATTTAAACAGCCTGTAAACCCTTGTTTTTTTTCTTACGGAGCTTGTAGAGAGGTCTAGGACAAAATTTTGAGTACTTTTCCGCGTGGATATTCAAGACCCTAGCATTATTTGTAAGTTTTATCTTTTTAATTAATGACAAATAATTATTTTCTTCTCAATTTTGTTGACCTGTCAATTATGAATTGTGACTAATTTTAATTAGGGACTTGAAATTGATGAAGGGATTAATTATGATCTAGGGTTTATTTCTTGATGGATTAATTGCATGATCTTTATTTAATTTGTGTTTGAATAATTTAATTGATATCTCTTGTAAGTTGTAACCTAGAACAGCTGCTAGGATTATAATTGCACATAAAATAAATTAAGAGTGATCTAATTTATTTTAGGACACTTTCACACACAATTGCTCGCTAAGAGATTAATAATGATTAGAGAGTCGTACGCTCGCTCGTCTTGGCAATAATTTAGGAACGTGTCGCGGCGTAGAGTACAATAATTTAGGGATCAGACATATCTACAAAGAGACATGCTTGAACGATTGACAGGAGGTCATCCTGATTGCCTTTTTCAAGCTCTATTCGTATTATTTTGATCAAATAGCCAATCCTAGAGCTCTTTTGCATTCAAATCTCTATCGTGATCCTCCCGTTGACCTCCAAAGCTCTCAATTCACTCTCGAGAGCTTCTCAAGCGCCGGTGCCGGACTTTAATTTCGTGATTTTGACTCCAAACAACATAAAACTCGAACCAACACCGTGAAAAATATGATTTGAGCTAAAATTGAGACTTATGACACCTAAAAGCTAGGAAAGCCATCAAAAGTTCATCCCAACACGAATCAAATGTGTGTTGTAATACGAACTTATCAGTGATCCAGGACTCAATACTCACTTTTTTTCAAGAGAAAAATCAATATTCTTCCAATTCAAATATTGTCTATCGAATTTTTTTTCTATATTTCTTTTTTTTTTTTCGAGAATTTTTTTTATTAAAAAATCCTTTTCAAATAGTATGTTATGGTTTTTGAAAAGCTTCCGTTAGAAAGGAAGAGCATTAGCATGAACCAGTCTCAAACTAATAAGATAGATTCATACAATTACAACATGACATAAATGAAATGTAAAATTTTTGAGTAGTCTCCTTTCCCTCGAACTAGCACAGTACCCGTGCATACGCACGGGAAAAAACAGTTGATCCATATATATTTTTATTTATTCACGATATGATTAAATATAAAAATTTAAGTTTTTTTTACAATCTTACACCATTTCAAAAATGGAGTACAATTAGTGAATATAAAAAAAATCGATACAAAAAATATTCAAAGTAAAAGAAAATTAAAAAAAACATTTACACCATCTATTAGAATTTGCTACGTAATAATAATTAGTATTGTTGCTAATGGTAATGAAATATTGAATTTAATTGTTAGAGTTTTGAAAAATTACTTTAAAAAGCACAATTAGTGGTAATGTCTAATGATTTTCTTTTCATATCATGTATTAAAATCCCTTATCAACATTTTCTAAACCCTCAATAACGCCACATATATGGAGCTTTACATGATCGACTAAAATACGTCACAGTAGGAATATTTCATCTTTTTCGAGTGATAGAGTTTGATATATATTGATTGTCAATTTGTCATAACATAAGCGACAACTATATGAAAATGTTTATTAGTTTAAGAACTCATGAGAGAGAAGATGAAAGTGGAAATCTTCCCGATCATTTGTTAGTCCCTTATAAGAGAGACAAATTTCCCCGTATTAATGAGAAAATTTTCCTCAATGAGAGAGAAACTTTTCCCGTATAAGAGAGAAAAATGTCATTAACACACTTATCTTGTTATACCTAAAATCACTACATTTGAGAGAAAAAATTTGCGCTCAATAATTAGTCCCTCATCGTATACTTCAAAGAACGACATGTGAGTGAGAAATTCCCACTGTCAATCATTACTCTGCTTTTCTTATACTTAAAAGTTAAAAGCACCACATAATAATAAAATGTACTGTAATAGTTAAATGACAACTTGCTACTCATTAGTTCAATTAGTCCTAAACATGTGAAAAATTATCATCATCATACCTAAAACAACTACATATGAGAGAAAAAATTATCCCGCTCAATTGTTAGGAAACTTATCTTCTTATCTTCATCTTCATCTTCATCATATACCTAAAATCACTATATAAGAGAGACAAATTTGTCCCGTTCAATTATGAGCCCACTTAACTTGTACGAATACTTAAAAGAACTACATATGAGAGAGAAAGTTATCCCGATCAATTGTTAGTAAACTTATCTTGTATCTTCTAATACCTAAAAGCACTACATATGAGAGAGAAAATTCTCCCACTCAAATTCTCTGCTCATTTGTTAGCAAACTTGTCTTATACACAAAAGAACTACATATAAGAGAAAGCCCCCCACTCAATTGTAAGCAAAATAATATTGTAATACCTAAAAGCAACACATATGAGAGAGAAAATTCTCCCGCTAAATTATTAGCAAGCTTTCCTTCTTATATCTAAACGCACTACATATGAGAGAGAAAAATTCTCTCGCTCAATTGTTAGCCGACTTATCTCTTATTATACCTAAAAGCACTACATATGAGAGAAAAACTAATTATTTGAGTATCATGGTTGATGAAGAGTGTTAAGATTTGAGATTATTTACAATTTATTAAATAAATGTGATGTCGCAATGATTTGTAATAGAAAAATCATTTATTTTAAGATCATGAACGAAGATGCTCTTATAATACCTAAAATCACTATATATGAGAGACAAAATTATTCCGTTCAATTGTGAACCCACTTAAAGTATAGTTAAAAGAATATTTATACTTACCCAATCTACTTATGCTCCCATTATTTGTGGTTATGTAAAACTTTAGCTCTAATACGTAAACTAAATTTAATCCGATCTGAAAGTTTACTGTTTTTTTTCATACAATTTTTTATTTATTTTATTATTAAGTAATTCATTATTCTCCCCATCACCATATATAGTAGTTCCGATACAGTCCATAATACATAATTCAGTTTTTCCATAACCGCAAAACATTTATCATGCTTTCATGATGATGTTAAAAAATATTCCGTATATTGATTATAACATGAATTTGAGATTATTTAAAATTTATTAAATAAATGTGATGTCGCAATCATTTGTAATAGAAAAATCATTTATTTTAAGATCATGAACGAAGATGCTCTTATAATACCTAAAATCACTATATATGAGAGACAAAATTATTCCGTTCAATTGTGAACCCACTTAAAGTATACTTAAAAGAATATTTATACTTACCCAATCTACTTATGCTCCCATTAATTATTTGTGGTTATGTAAAACTTTAGCTCTAAAACGTAAACTAAATTTAATCCGATCTGAAAGTTTACTATTTTTTTTCATACAATTTTTTATTTATTTTATTATTAAGTAATTCATTATTCTCCCCATCACCATATCTAGTAGTTCCGATACAGTCCATAATACATAATTCAGTTTTTCCATAACCGCAAAACATTTATCATGCTTTCATGATGATGTTAAAAAATATTCCGTATATTGATTATAACATGAATTTGAGATTATTTAAAATTTATTAAATAAATGTGATGTCGCAATGATTTGTAATAGAAAAATCATTTATTTTAAGATCATGAACGAAGATGCTCTTATAATACCTAAAATCACTATATATGAGAGACAAAATTATTCCGTTCAATTGTGAACTCAAAGTATACTTAAAAGAATATTTATACTTACCCAATCTACTTATGCTCCCATTATTTGTGATTATGTAAAACTTTAGCTCTAAAAACGTAAACTAAATTTAATCCGATCCGAAAGTTTACTGTTTTTTTTCATACAATTTTTTATTTATTTTATTATTAAGTAATTCATTATTCTCCATCACCATATATAGTAGTTCCGATACAGTTCATAATACATAATTCAGTTTTTCCATAACCGCAAAACATTTATCATGCTTTCATGATGATGTTAAAAAATATTCCGTATATTGATTATAACATGAATTTGAGATTATTTAAAATTTATTAAATAAATGTGATGTCGCAATGATTTGTAATAGAAAAATCATTTATTTTAAGATCATGAACGAAGATGCTCTTATAATACCTAAAATCACTATATATGAGAGACAAAATTATTCCGTTCAATTGTGAACCCACTTAAAGTATACTTAAAAGAATATTTATACTTACCCAATCTACTTATGCTCCCATTATTTGTGATTATGTAAAACTTTAGCTCTAAAAACGTAAACTAAATTTAATCCGATCCGAAAGTTTACTGTTTTTTTTCATACAATTTTTTATTTATTTTATTATTAAGTAATTCATTATTCTCCATCACCATATATAGTAGTTCCGATACAGTTCATAATACATAATTCAGTTTTTCCATAACCGCAAAACATTTATCATGCTTTCATGATGATGTTAAAAAATATTCCGTATATTGATTATAACATGAATTTGAGATTATTTAAAATTTATTAAATAAATGTGATGTCGCAATGATTTGTAATAGAAAAATCATTTATTTTAAGATCATGAACGAAGATGCTCTTATAATACCTAAAATCACTATATATGAGAGACAAAATTATTCCGTTCAATTGTGAACTCAAAGTATACTTAAAAGAATATTTATACTTACCCAATCTACTTATGCTCCCATTATTTGTGATTATGTAAAACTTTAGCTCTAAAAACGTAAACTAAATTTAATCCGATCCGAAAGTTTACTGTTTTTTTTCATACAATTTTTTATTTATTTTATTATTAAGTAATTCATTATTCTCCATCACCATATATAGTAGTTCCGATACAGTTCATAATACATAATTCAGTTTTTCCATAACCTCAAAACATTTATCATGCTTTCATGATGATGTTAAAAAATACTTCGTATATTGATTATAACATGAATAATAAAGAAAATATTGTGGGGTAGATTGAAATTTGTACATAGAAGAGAGAAATAATATGAATCACAAATCTAATTGATTTAAAAAATGTGGTGAACTTTTTGAATAAATTCAAAACGAAAAAATGACAAAATATTAAGATTAAGGCATAGAGAGAGCATAACGTTTTTGACATAAAACAGTCCAAGATTCACTTTTTAATGACAGTACTGATTTCATATACTATAATCTTTTTAGTGGCTCTATATAATATAACTAACCATGATAGTATTGAATTATTGATTAATTACTCCGTAATTAATAAGAAAAAAAAAACATAAAAAAGAGCACCAAGCTAAGGAAAAAGTAGATTGCACTGTTTGCAGAGAACCACCGGCTCCAGCCGTTGGTGATAAAAATTGGCCAGCGTTTGTTAAGGAAGGGATTAATAATAAGTAACGTAATAAAAGAAAATTAGCAAATTGTAATCCAATTATTATGAGGCCACGTGGCAGAAAAATAGCAAAGGAGTAAAATAAGGGGAGATTGACACGTTAGAATTTTTTAAGGGTAAAAGAGTATTTTGCACAGCTTATTCTTTTCTTATATATAAATAGATAAGGAAGCACCATATTAGTAAAATAGTAATTCCATTTTATAGGAGTAATTTATGTCAAGTTTGATATTATAAGGCTTTAAGCATGACGGTTTCTGCCAGTTTTCTCGACAAAAATTACTCATATTTAGAAAATAAAAAACATAAATGTCTTTTCAGTCTTCCTTATATAGTTTCATTGGTGCATCTCTTTCTGAGTATCTGTATGTGATGATATTAGCTTCCGTATGAACAAACAATCCTGGAGACAAAGACATCACTTTGTGCATTAAAAGTCCTAAAAGAAAGCAAAAAAGTTTTAGACTTTACAAATTTCCACAACTCACTTTTCCTTTTCAAGTATGAATCCCTTGATAAATGCCCCCGGCCAAGAGATGGACATTCCTACATACGGCAAAGGGAATAAAGAAGATGTCTTCCTCGTCCGCGACCCCCCGCGTGGACTACGTGACGGCGCTCGATGGGTTGGTGAACGTGAACTCTCTCTTCACGGCGGCCGTCTTCATGGGTCTGACGATCGCCGCGCCGGGCCAGAAAAGCCTGGAGGAGCGGTCAAGCTGCGACGCCGGGACCGGCGTGGCGAGAAAACTGGTGTTGTTCGAGATCTGCTCCTTCAGCTTCTTCCTCTTGTCTTCTCTTCTGGCCCAAGGACTGAAACTCGCCATTATTCTGCTGAACAGCACAGATGTGGATCGGGCCTTCAAGGCCCATGTGAATCTCAAGGTCTTGCGGGTTGGGATGATGGGCTCTGCTGGTGGGTGCGTCTTGGGCTGCGTCTTCTTGCTTCTGTCTATGGTCAAAGTGATAGAGATCCGGTTGGGGATTTTTTCGTGTGGGAGCGGAACCACAGCCAATGGGTTGATGGTTTTGGTCTCTTTGGCTCTCGTTTTATATATGGGTTCTACGATCTATGTTTTTTTCCAATGAAGTCACATCTACCAGGGAATGTTTCCTTGAACTTTTATTTTTATTTCCGTTTCTCAACACTTGAGTATACGATGTTGCCTTCTTGATCATATGAATTCAATGAGTTGAATAAGTATATATATTGTTGTGTAGTATCAATTTTTTTACAAAAATGATCTTTGTAATCATTTTTATACTCACATTTGTACTCACCTATGTTTGTGAAAGTTTTTTTTTGTCTGTGAATCGGGGCTCACAGACAATATTTTGCACAAACAAAATATTCTTTGTGAATCGGGTTCACAGACAAAAAAAAACCTCACAAACATGATGGATACAAGGTGGGTATAAGAGTGGGTACAACAAGCATTGTTGATTGTTTTAATTTAGGTATCCGTAAAACAATTGGTTATACGGAATATGTTATACCTTTCTCGGCCTTTTGATAAGATCAAGTGTAGGCGACTAGGCAGTATAGCAATCGTTTTTAATTTAACGATCTCTAAACAATTGTTTTTCATCCTCACATATACATAGGATTTAATTTAATCTAATATCTAACTTTGTCATCAAATACTTGTATGGGCCAAAAGTAGGTATCAAAAAAATTGAAAATTCAAGTTTTAATTAGTTTAAGAGCATTTTCTAGTATGTGTGTGTGGAGGGGGAAGGGGTAAACTATACCGTACACCCGGTTGTATGGTTCTCACCGTACAACCGGGTAATTTTGAAATTAATTACAACTCTTTCCTGTAGTGCGCTGCTCGCTGAAGTGATACGATGAGGGAGGTGCCGACCTGGGAGTTCCGATCTCCCGAATAATCGCCGATTTTAATTTCTTTCGGTGTTGTGCCGTACTGTCATGTGCGCTGCTAGTTTGCTTGGAGTTCCAATATAGCTTGCTTTCCAATATAGGGGAATGACTTATTGACTTTAACTTTTTGCATCGTTGTGGTCTTCTATATCCGGATAGAAATCTTGTACGTAGTACTAGTATTTTAATTCTCAAATCTAAGATCTAAATTTGTATTTTAATATTATATTTTAATAATGTGCGTTAAAATTTTCATCTTATGAATTACTACGTACTAATATAAGTTTTATGTTGTATAAAAAATGAGCACGTTAGAAAAATCAAATGAGCGCACACAAATGAAAATATGAGCATAATAGAGAATTTAATGAGATTTTTGAATTTTTGTATTGCTTATTTTGTAAGTTATGTATGCTTATTTGATATTGATACATTGCTCATTTTAGATTTTCATATTCATGCATATTTAAAAAGTATACTATTAGATTAGATTCACATATTGGACTTGATCACACAGATTCATTGTAGATACTTTAAAAATAAAAAATAAAAAGAAAGTGAATTACAAGATATAAAGTAGCGATTACAATGCTCATTATTAGATTCTTAATACTCGAAAAAGTTGGTCTGATGCTCATTAAAAATGTATTAATGCTCATTCAACCGAAGGCGAGATTTTCACATGATTTACAAAAATGCCACCGGCTGTAGAGATTGTCGATGACAATGTTAATGCTTTGTATAGACTAGATTCTTGTTAATCATGACCTCCCAGATCAATCTAACCGTTATGACATTGCCCTCACATACCATTTGAGTATAACGCTTAAAAGAAATGAGCATAGACAAATGAGAATTTGGGCATGTTAGCGACTTCAAATGACTTTTTGAATTTTCGAAACTTATTTTGTAAGTTATATATGCTCATTTGATACTGACATTATGCTCATTTTAAAATCTCATATAATTTCATAATTCGTAATAGACCAGATGCTCATTAAACGTTCATTAATGCTCATTCACAAGAAATTGTAGTTTTCATCTCAATAACGGGTGTTTGATGCTCAATTAAAATGTCGTGATGTTCAACTAACAAAACTTTATGATTTTCATATCAATGTACACTTTGTAGTTATGTATGCTCATTTGGTACTGATGTAATGTTCATTTTTACAATATCATATCAATGCATATATCAAAAGTATCATATTATATTAGACTCGCATATTGAAATTAATAAGAGTAGATTATAGATATAATTTAATAAGTTTTTATACAAGAAAAAGTAAGAAAAAGAAAGAGAATTAGAATATATGAAGCAAAGATCGTGAAGTTCATTGTTAGTCTCCTAATACTCAATAAAATAGGTCTGATGCTCACTAAAATTACATTATTGCTCATTTGATATTGATATTATGTTCATTTTAAAATGACATATAATGCGTATTACAAAAGTACCATATTAAATTAAATTCGCATATTGAAGTTTATATAAGTTGATTATAGATATAATTCAATAAATTTTTATAAAAGAATAATAAGAAAAAGAAAGTAAATTACAAGATATGAAGGAGATATCACGATGCTCATTGTTAGACTTCTAATACTCACCAAAATATGTGTAATGCTCACTAATATTAAGAATTTTATAAAAGAAAAAAATAAAAGAATAATAAGAAAAAGAAAGTAAATTACAAGATATGAAGGAGATATCCGATGCTCATTGTTAGACTTCTAATACTCACCAAAATATGTGTAATGCTCACTATTATTAAGAATTTTATAAAAAAAAAGAAAAAGAAAAGAAATTGTAAGATATTGTGCTCAATATTACACTCTCAATACTCAACAAAATAGCAATAATGCTCAATAAAAGTATTGATGCTCAACCAACTTGAGCAAAAGGTCTACCTCATGTAACATTCGTTCCAAATTTCCAGTAGTTTACGGTTGTATTCCTTCATCCCAAATAAAGTCCAGTTTTACTTCGACATGTTAAATGGCCTAAACTTATTGTGCTATGATATACTACGCATATTACAGTAAGAAGTAATACACTTCCATGAATTTGAAGGTGAGGAGCAAGAAAATGGAAAACTGAAGTCTGAAACCTCTACCTGCGTCGCCAGAAGAGGAGGAAGACGAAGAAAGCTTCACCAGAGTTGTTGCCGAACTGGAATTTTCACATACGCTGATTGCGGAGGAAGCGTGCCGCCATATCTTCGCCGGAACACCCCTAAGCCACGGTGCTACTTGTCTCCAGAAAAGGGAGGCCGATGTGGGGTTAGCATGCAACTGCAAGTCTTCCCTGCTTTTTGCGTTCCTGAAAAAATTTGGAGGAAGAAGATGAAGGTACAGTAGCATTCTCGTAGACTGAAAGTATTAATTGGGCCAGAGAATCGTCGGGCTGATGTCAAATGTTTTGGGAATTGCAAAAATGCCACCGGATGTGCGTACAACCGGTGGTACGATATACGAACTCGGGGGAAGGGGTTTTTCATTCGGGCTGACGGGAACTGTTGTCCTGTCAAAGAGCGTTTGAGAGCCTTTCAGGACTAAATTTTTCATGAAATTTATGATAATGTTCTTCTTGAAGTGAATAACATTCAAACAAAATTTCTGGTTAAACTTCGATATTAATTAAATTATTGAAAAATACTGCGTTTTATGCATATTTTGAGAAGTAAGTTTCAATGATTTATTAATTTGACTTCATGATCAAATTTAAGCTTAAACTTTATGGAGATAATCTATACTTCATGAAGAACATGTTCCCAAATTTTCATTAAAAAAAAACTACCGGGAAGCTCCTCAAATGACATCACTCGGACGGCGGTTTAATCCGGACTAACAAGAACATTAATCTATATCTAATCTAAAATCTTATAAACACCCATGAAGGTTAGAATATTTTTGGTATATTAAATGTGTTTGTGTAACACAAAACAACATGCTATTGTACAATATGGCCTGATCATTGTATTATAGACTTTTACTTCTGCTCATCAGTTACCTCCATTAAAATCAAAGCATTTATCCCCTTCATTGTATTCTGCCATCTATTCATTGATTTTACTTTATTCCTTCTCTTCTCTATGTATTCACATAATTCCATTTATTCTTTTCTACTATGTATTTAATAATTACACTTAGTTTGGAATTTTAAATTCAATCTATGTGGTGCGTTCGTCTTCACCACTAACCCCCAACTGAAACGGTTGTACTGATGATCAATTTTCTCTTATTTCCCTTACTGAGGTATGTAAAACGTAAAAACAAAAGGATTTCTTTTATTAATTTTATTACTTTGATTTTTATGAATGACATGTGTGATTTTTGTATATTGTGCTTTAAAAGAGCTAATGGCGATGGTGGTGATGGTGATGTATTTTCTGATCATCGTCAATATTTCAAAATAAAATTTTATAAGGGGATTTGGTGTTTTTTTGCAACTCAATTTCTAGTGTAATTATTTATACTTCCACTAATGTAAGTACCATGATTTATCTAATTTGTTGAATATGTCATCCTAAACTTTTGTACGCAAGCAGTGAATATGTTATTCATTCTCTTTCAAATACAATCAATAACGTGAATTAGATAATCTGTATAGGGATTTCATCCAAATTTGGAGCCAAAGGAAAAAGAGTCAACATCCGTTAAAATAGTTTGGTGTAGAAAGTATGTGCATTTTTATCGAGCGTTCGAATTGAATAACGAAAATCTATCGAGCCAAACTTGAGCTCCGTTTTTGTATCGGGTAAATTTCATTTCATTGTTTCAGTGTAGCATATTAATGGTAACTTCATACGTATAATATATGATCATTAACATGTTACATGTTGAACTTTTGTATATGAAATTATTTTCTAATATTCAATTGTATATGAAATTATGACGCATTGAAAAATTACAAGGATTAATTGGAGTTCCAAAAGGGTGGTGTCCTCGAGTGGCTGTTGGCTCCTCTCTGGGCGCTGTGTTGCCGCCTCTCCGTTGTCCCGGACGTTCGAGTCCAACCGGTGGTCGCCTTATACCTTCCTGGGCTCAGTAACAACATATGCTTGACTCCTGAGTTGAGATTGTCGACAGTGGGCATGTTTAGCAATTGGAACCAAACATTTTGATTATAATTAGTTTTTATGATTAATTATCATAAAGAGGAAATGTCTTTGAAGACGGGTGGTCATTTCCTAGAGTTCTCTAGGGTTTGTTTTTTCGGTGGGGTTTAATGCCCGCAGCCAGTTTGTTCACCTACCCGGCTTTCGCAGACAAGGTCACCGAAGCAGGGCAGCGAGCTCGAGGTAGACTTTGGTGATTTCAATGTTGAAGCTTGAGGAG